ATTAATGATGTAAAGAATGTGCATGGCAATACATTTTCAGGCCACCCGTTTTACAGCAATATAAAAAAATGATCATATGTTAACACTATACATTTTCTATAACTGATTATGATGTGTGCAGGGATTGCATAAGCAAAATGTAAAGTTTTCCAACAGTATCATTACATAATAAATGTGACTGTCTGGTTGCCTCTCCTCTGAGCCTCCGTGTGCAGGTGTGTGGGTGTTTCGTTCAGAGTGTAGTATGTCTGTGTGCGTGTGTCAGACAAATACAGGCAGCTTGTGTTTGTTTATAGAAAGCACAGGAGTTTTTTTGGCCACACAAAGGCGCATTAGAAGGACCGGCTCGGCAGCGGCCATGTGTTTGAGTCATCGTGCAGCCTGCACCTGCTCCAACCAGCTGAGTCTTGAATGAGCAGAACACGGACAGACACACAAACACACAGAGGGAAGGAGAGATTAGAGCGCCCTGTGTAAACTACCGCTAGTAAATATACCCGCTCACACCCAGAGCAAAGCATCTGAAGGGAGGGGGGGGGGAGGAAAACGTACTACTCATTGTATTGCTGCGATTCCATTCTTTTCATTTGAACATTCAGTTGGGTTTAAACCTAGATAGATTGTATATTAAAGTAGTAACCAAACTCATGTTTTCATCTAATTGCGTCAGTTTCACTCTCACTAAGGTCAACAAGCCAAATAGGGGTCTGTGTTGTGCTTATATTAGGCTCTAGTTTACAACAGATAGGACTGCTGAATGTATGAGTGTGCATTATGAGTCTTAATGTATTCAATTTGTGTTATCATCTCAAAAAAAAAATCACTCTTTAATGTCAGCAATATTCACTTGATCTGCTTATCTCTAAGGATGCTAGTTTAGCTTTGGCCACCGTTAGCTGGTGGCCTGTTGAGAGACCTGCTAGGCATGGAACCTTTTTCAAAGGGAATGATCAGATCTTTTGAAGTAAGGCTGTTTGAGGTTATCCATAGTCAGTGTATGACCTAGGTCATGTTTGAAATAAACAGAACCTTTTGCTTTGACAGGAAAAGCGAGCTAAAAGATAAATAGCAGTTTAAGTGTACACCCAAACAATTCAAATTCTCCGTTCATGCTACAAATGTTTTTGTATTGACTTTGTGAATGCTCTGGGAAGAAGTAAATGGAAGAGCTTGAAGAACTGGGATTCAATGTAGAGCTTACAACCGCCATAACCTGAAACCAGACAAGGGGCATGTCTTATTATTTGGAACTTTTCTAATTTTCATAAATATAAACTATGAATCCATTTAGTTTGTAACAGCCTCATCAATCATCAATCATAACTTTTGTTTTACATTCGATTGCATTAAGGCTTTATGATATCCTGATATTGAATTTTGGATGATTTAGTCAACTTTGTAACACCCCTGGTGTTCCTGGTCAAAAATGACCACCATAAAGAAAAGGAATTAGTAACCATCCGGATCAGATAAAACACAAACACACCCACACCCACACCCACACACACACACACACACACACACACACACACACACACACACACACAATTTGACACATTTCCCGCTCTTATGTGCCCATCCCCCCACATGGATCACACCTGGCACACGCAATACATGTTCAGTGTCTGTTCTTTGTATATTTACTGCAGTGTTTCATGTATACCAGTAGTCTGATACAATATGTTCACTTTGAAAGGGTGTTAAATGAAATTTGGTGATGATTAATGGTTTTTGTGTTTATGTAATAGCAGTTAAAACAGGACTGGTCAAATTTGACCGCGAACACCAAAGTAAGGGGGGGGGGACGAAGACAATATGAGGGTTAATACTCAACAGCAAGCTCGTTAATTCCCAATGATGCCGTATACAGTACAGTTAGTATTGGAGCCTGATTCTCCTTGTTGCCTCACAAACTACAACTAGCCTGCTTAGTTTTGAAATCATTATTTAAAGTTATTAAAAGTGGAAAAACAACTATCAACAGTTCTGAAAAGTACATTTCAGTTAAAGGTCCACTATTATACTGTTTTTTGGCTCGAAATACCAAACAGATCCTGCATTGTAGCATCCCATAAACCCCTCTGTTTCAGCCCTGTTTCAAAAGTGCTTATTTTCATGTGGTGTGTGTGTGGTGAATAGGCGGAGGTAAGGCAAAAGTAAATGAGCAAGCAATAGAATGGTCCGAAAGTTAGAACATCCGATGAGTGAAGCAACCATCGGGAGCTTTCCCAAAACCTCCAACTACGGAGCGACTTGCACTCAACAACCGAAAGAACAGGCGTCGTCGTCTTTCGTAAAAGCTTACAAACTTAATAGTTCCCAGTAGGGGCCAGCTAAAAGAGGGAAATACGAGTTGTGTGTCAACGTGCCCCACGTGCTTATCAAAGGGGGTTGAAAAACGGGCCAGAAATCATCTTTACAAGCAGCCATTTACTCTACCTAATCTAAAAAAGTAGAAACCACCCAAAAAAAAAAGGAAAGATAGCACACTCGAGGTGTGAAAGTGAGATATGTCACAACAAATGTGAAGACACTACGCGCTCGACCTTACTGCAGTGCCAGTCTCTCAGTTGAAAAAAAAAAGAGTTGAAACACACCTTTTTACGCCCTAAATATGGCGGAAAACTATTTATACGCCGGAAATTTTTAGACGCGGTAAAACGACTAATACGCCAATTTAAAGACGGCTAGCGTCTTAGCGCAAAAAGAGACCTCCCAGATTGATCCGTTTTCTTCGCGAACACTACAGCAATACAAATGTCAATCTTTTGTTTCCTCCAGGTTATCTCCGTAAAGTCTGTCCACTCTCTTTTTTCACGAGACCTCCCTTAAAGTTAACTATTACTTTTCATCAAGGTCCGCAAAACTAATGTCAAACTCAGACACGTGTACATTACCTCACTCTCTCGTCTGACTCTATCTTTGTCCTCTCTTATGTGTCTATGGTCCTATCTTCTGTTACTGCTCGCCGACTTACTCGTCGATGATTTCACACCTTGCACCCCGTGGTCAAGTAGATCCGACGACAGAGAGTTTCTCACTCTTGGAGTACGACAAGCAACCTGATAATTATCACCTCTGTAAGTCGAGAGACGTCACTGGACCGTGGCCGGTCCGTAGTTCGTTTCTTCGAATGTCCTTGTCGCGTTGTCTCTGATTACTTTACCCCTTACACAGTAAATAAATCACAATTAGAAATAAACTGTTTGTTATTAGTTATCGAGGACAAACGCGTAAAGTAATATGTGTCGCATAAGTAGGACTTTTTGGTGTCCAACAACAGTTTCGTTTTCACCGACGTACGGAGGTACATAAACAAAGTTAAGTGAATCGCGGTGACATCGTCAATTCTTTCTTCTTATTCGATTACGAGGATAATACGTTTTAGTGATAAAAGGTACAGAACAAATGCCATGCAGGTGTGTCGTCGAAAATTTTTTTAGAAAGGTTGCGAAGGTTGCGAAGAGACCGGGTAACTGAAATTTTACCGCCTACTACAGTGGAAACGGAGAGAAAGCGGCTTGACGTAACAAACCCCTTCGTTTCGCTTCTAAAGGTCCTAAAAGTCCTAAAGTCTAAGTTTTCAACGCTCGCTCTGCCAATTGGAAAAAACTTCGACTCGGACACTTCACGCAGTACGGTTAGTTTAGGGCAAATACGTTTAGAACTGTCATGTTCACGATCGGTGTTCCGGCTTGCCACGTCGACCCTCTCGGTCTGGCTCAAATTAAAGGAGTCCAAGGTGAGCCTTTCATCTTAATGCCATCGGTTTAGTGGCCCAAAGAAATGCTGGCTGATAAATGGCCCTGTGTTTGGCCTCCTTGGTCCATACCCTCCCTCCACCCGTCTCTGGTCACCCACTTTGAACCATCCAAAAGCCGGACAAACCCCTAAAATATAGTCAATGAAGCAAATTTGTAACGACTCGCCGTATCTGTCATAGAAATCGTCGACCTTATATCGTATTTTATCGTGGTATCTGTAATTAGAGTATGTACAAGTAGTATCGGGAGGGCGACTGTGAAATGGAGACGGTGTAGTTCTGATATAAGTAGGTGTAATTACGTTGTTACAGTCATGAGGAAAGACGTGTATACAGACTACCTCTGTCTTGGCCCCCAAAACGAAACATACAGCCCCCCGCCCTCTAAGTACACTAACCACAACCAGGCGCAACGAGCGTTTTTAGGGGTTCGAGAGTCTGGGCGGTCGAGGTTCTAAAAGTTCTAAAAAAAGTTTCGACGACACACCTGGACAGGCAGATATGTATTGTCCACAGGGAGG